AGGTCTCATCCCATCACATTAAAAATGCCTGCAGAATAACACATGTCCATCCAGAACTCTCACCTGCACACGTGGGAATGAGCAGCTGGTGGGTGTCAAAATCCATCAAGATAGGAGGCAAATGGTATAGCCAAAAAAGACTGGCAATTGAGATCCAGAGCAGGACAAGGATCCTGAATGGCAGAGACAAGTGAAGTGGTATAAGATTGTCAGGTTCCAGATCAAGAAAATTAGGCAGGGTTGCTTAGTCATTTCTTTCCCAGGTAAATTGCTCAGGATGCTGAGGAAAGTAAGATGTGAGGGCCTCATCTGGGTTCTTGGGTTACTTGATTCCTTCTAAAATGGCTGGCTGGATTTCTGTTCCCATCACTGTTTGGATAGCAAAGCCCACAAAAATCTGTCTCTGAATACCAGGAAGCCTACACCTGGCCTTGCTACCAGGTTCCCTGGCTGGACCCCAGTGATACCCTCCAGAGGTGAAAGATGAGACATCTGTACAATTAATATAAAAATAGTTTCATTTGGCTTCAGATTAGCAAGCTCTGATTTTACTGAGCTGACCAAGAAGCGAAGGAGCTACAAATGCCAGCCCTGGATTTCTCTTGTGCACTTTTGCCATAGGATTTTAAGGATTTTGGGCAGGTAACAAATCCACTCAGCCCCTCTTTGCAAAAATTACTTCTTTTTTTTGAGGAACAAAAAGGTTACATGAAGAGTAGTCTGAAGCCATGACTACCAGAATTATTCCTTCTTTCTCCTGCCAAAGTGACTGGAAATTGTATCTCTCATTTCACATGAAAAGATCCTAATGGAAATTCTTACTTATCCAAAGCAACAAAGGAACACTAAAACATTCTTCGGCTCTGTCCCTTTGCTTTTTATCTCAAGTTTAGAAAGAGGGACATAACGTTGCACAGAGAGAGAGCATATCAGAATCCCTATTGAAAACTGTTTCCATCAATAGCAGTATCTGGTCTGAAACAACCATAGGACTTATATAATTCGAGGACAAACAGTGCATTAACAGAAAGGCAGTTTTCTTCGGCAAAGGCACTTTTGTGAAAGAGAGACACAGCATGGGATACTGATCATAACATCAGATTAAGCACAGAGGGTACAAATCTCCAGCATGAGGCTCCCTGGATCTCAACCCAATCTACCTTGCAGGGTGGAGATGAAGATAAAATGAGGGTTATGTATAGGAAGGCGATACTTTGCAGAAAGGCTGGGATAAATGTTTTGAAATTGGGAAAGAAGAAACAGATTCCAGGTTCAGGAAGATCATCTAATGTAGGTTGCACAAGAAAAGACCTGTGGTAACATAAGGAGTCATTGGCTGATCTGGTTCAGCTATTTATGCTGATTTATGTTGTTGGCAGTAGCTCTCTAGGATTTCAGCAAAAATATTTCAAAGTTGAGATACTGACGACTAAACTGTCATTAGTCTAATTCGAAATGGAGATGAGTCAGCATACAGACGGGAGGTTCAACAACTGGTCTTGTGGTGTGGTTATAATAACTTGGAACTGAATACACTTAAAACTGTGGAGATGACTGTGGATTTTAGGAAGAACCCCTCTAATACCCCTCCCCTTACCATACTCGACAGCCCAGTATCAGTGGTAGAGTC